AAAGTTAATTTTTACAACTTTTTATATAAATTAATTACAAAAATAATATTTATTATACTTTTTAACCTATATAATAAAAACTTATTAATATATTATGAGTTACAAGTTAGAACCATATTAATTAAATTTTGATATCTCTTAGGCATGAACCTCGATGGATCCCCATTTTGATCGACAAGATAACACACCATTGGAACTATTGCAAGGTTATTGTCAAATTTTGCACAACATTATATTCATTAATATCTAATTGAACCAATGGTTTAATAAGTTAAACTGATCAAACCAAGACCTAGTGGTCAAAACAATTTGACCTTTGGCTTGGTTTTCAAAACACTAATTAACCAAAGAGATGATAAATGTATAAGGAAATTTTGGCATTTAACATATAAAATAGATTAATTCTTAGAAGTTTAACTAAAAGAAACAATGTATGAGCTTCATCTATATCCACAAAATATGAGAGGCAAGAAGGAGGTTTAGGGTTCAAGTTTAGGCTAAGATTATGGAGAACCATCGATGGATGAGGATGAATTTGAGTAAGAAATTTCTAACTTCTGATGCACTTTCTTCGTTTGCTTGGTAAGGCATGCAACCTGTTCTGACATTGTATGCAGTAGTTATGAAGTGGTTTTGGATCCCTTTTTCACCCCCTTCCTTTCAGATATTCTATTTTCCAAATCAATTGACCCTTTAATTTGCATCTTCCATATATCTTGCCAATACCATAGATATCTTTGCCAATCTTCTTTCTTGTAATAGATGTGGTTATTTCTCCACAAATATCCACTTGCTTTGTTAGCATTTCTATAACTAGAATGCCACATGGTAAAGCTCCCACTTCTTTCCATTTTGTTGTCTTCATCTTCGTTATGATTCACTTGTTTAAATCTGGAGGTTGATTTTGAATAATTTCAAACAGCATCTAGACATCCTTTTTTACCATCCAAACATGTTTTCCCTTGTGTGGACTAATTGTGTAGGATGTGATTAATTACAACAACTTGATGTGCATAGGCAATAAATTTGTATCATAGCAAGAAGCAGTTAAGGACTTATTTTCAGACACCCTTTAACATACTACACTAAGATTAAAATTTTGGTATTCCTTACAAGTTCTTAAACCTTTGATTTTTGTAATGCCTTGAATCTCATATCAGTGGAATTGTAATTGAGTTTGGTATATGAGTATAAAGACCAACTACTACTAACAATTTGAGCTTAAGCTTTTGAGGACACATGAACCTTGGCTTAAAGAGTTGTTGGGTTAGTAGTGGGCTTCAACTCGAGTTGTTTAAGTTGGTATCAAAGAGATCCCTTCTCACAAGTGTGGCCTTATGTTGACCATCACACCTAGTCGTGGTGTGGACCACACATCACTTGAGATAAATCCTATACTTGTGAGTCAATGGGCCTAGTTTTGATTATACTTGAGCTTGATGAAGAAATCAAACATTTAAAAAAGGGAGATTGTAATGCCCTAAATCCTACATCAGTAGGGAATTGTAAATGAGTTTGGTATATAAGTGTAAAAACCAACTACTACCAATAATTGAAGTTTAATTTTTAGAAGGTCCATGGACCTTGGCTTGAAGAGTTGTTTAGATAGTGGTGGTTTTCAACCTAGGTTGTTTTAGTTTTACCCATCACCTTCTCAATTAGTGCATGATTAATCTCAAAGGTTTTTCCTTTTACCAAAGTACTAAATCAATAATTCTTCTTTCTAAAAACAATGGATTACCATTAGCATCATAAAATTACCCATCTAAGTTGAAATAAAAGATTTTTACAAGTCTCGGGAGATATCTTCCACCTAGATTTAGAAATTACATCCAACCTTAGTTTATAAAATGTTCAATAAAGGGAAAATTTATACTTTGGAGGAAGGAGACATTAAGCACGATTGAGTAGTACTTCTCTTTTGGTGAATGGCTTCACACTTTTGATTCCTCTACTTGAAATTACTTGTATTTAATGAAATTAAAGACATTCATCTCCTTTGTATCTTTGAAATTTGTTAGGGCTAGGTTGTCCAATTTTTTAACAATATCCTTCACCTATTTCCATTTACTATTGATAATTCTAGGTGGGGTTTTAGATGGTTGTGCTTTTATGAATTATTGATGTTTTTTTTTTCTCTCTTTTTTTTTTTTTTTTTTTTTTTTTTTTTTTTTTT